TTCTTTTTACTGTTGCTCATTTTCTTTTAACTCTTTACATTGCTCTATTTATTTTCTTATTGTAGCCAGAGCTGGCTCAAGGTCAGTTGGGGCCTTAAGCAAACATTTTAAAGGAGGCATTTTTTTTTTTATTTGCGACAATTGTTTAATGTTTTACGATCATTCTTTTTTACAACAATATTTTTTTTCTAAAGAAGAATTTTATTATTTTGGTCATTATATTATGTATTTTTTTACATGTTTAGTTAACTTGAAATCCTATAAATTTTGAATCTAAATTTAGTTTTGGTTGAATAGAGATGATTACTGGTCTTTCTCAGCTCAAAATTAAAAGGTTAGTTTCTTATTCTTCTAATAGTTTTTAACCAATTATATTTTTTATACAACTATTATAATTTATATGTTAGAAATGGTTAAGTTTTAGCCCAAAAAGACTACCATATGCTCAACTAATATAAAGAATGATAGTTTTGCATCATTTAGCCCCTTGTTTGGTTTATATTTTTTATTATATTTTATTTTTTCTCTTTTATTTTAACGTTTAGTTTTTTGTTTATATTAGATATTATTCTTGAAAGAAGAGGGAAGACACAAACCACTACTTTAAAAAAAAATTTGAAAGCAATTAGTGGCGCTCTAGAAAAACCTACATTTAAACCATGTTTATGAGGTTGTCCATTTCGTGTTTCCTCTTTTATTTTGTCTTTTTTTGTTTGCTTGATTTGTGATGCTTATTATTTCTTATTATTCATTTATTAAAAGTATATAAAAGATGAATATAGAATCCAAAAAAGAACAAAAATAGAAAAAAAAAAATTAGGGTAAGAAGTGATAAAAATAGGGGTAAAAAGGATTAAATTCAAAATAAATAAGTTGTAGGAAAAAGGGACCAAATGCAAAAGTTGAAGTTTCAGGGAAAATTTTTTTTTAAAAAAAAGTATAAAAATCAAGCAAAATGAGAAAATGAATAAATTTTAGGGCAAAAAGAACTAAATGAAAAAAAATCAAGACAAAAATAAAACAAAGGTCAGACAAGGTAAACTAAACAAATAAAACAGTTTTAGAGCAAAAACAAAAACCCAAACGAAGATAAAATAAAATAAAATTACATAACATAAATAGAAAATGGTAAAAAAAGGAATAAAATAAATAAATAAATAAATTTTAAGGCAAAAGGAACCAAAACGGGAAAAAAATAAATTTTTAAGGAAAAATGTATAAAAATAGTGAAAAAGGACTAAAATGGATAAACAAATAAGTTTAAGGAAAAAGGAACCAAAATGAAAAAAAAATTCCAAGACAAAGAATTAAAAAAAAACCAAAATATATAAATAATTAAGTTTTAGAGTAAAAGGAACCAAAACAAAATAATAATAATAATAATAATAATAATAATAATAATAATAATAAAATCTCAGGGTAAAAAAAGATAAAAATAAAGAAATAAATAACTTTTAGGATAAAAAGCTAAAATGAAAAGTAAAATAAAATTCCAGGACAAAAATTTTAAAAAATAGGTAAAAAATAAAAAGGCTAAAATGAAGGAATAAAAATGTTTTTGGGGAAGGTAAAATGAAATCAAAATGAAGAAATAATGTTTCAGGGCAAAAGTTAAAAAAAAAAAGGTGAAAAAAATAAACTAAAGAAATAAATAAGTTTTTTTTTTTTTAAAAAAAGAAGAAAGAAATAGAATTTGCGGACGAAAATAAAGAAAATGGTCAAAGAAAAAAAACAAAAATAAAAAATAAAAAAAATTTAAAATAAAAGAAACCAAAAAAAAAAAAAAGTCTTATGATACCAAAAGAAAGTTCTTGATAGAGCCTCAATGGAAAGAAAGGGTGGGGAAATAGCTCCTTTCCTTCTGATTGTGGAAGTGCAAAGAGCAAAGCTTAGAGGATTTCCTTTACAATTTTGTGAGTGAGAAAGTGATAAATGTAATATTTAAAGTCTCGTTCAATTTATTGATTTAAGTTTTTAATTCGAATTGAGATGTGATTTTATGTTAGAATGAAAAAATAAATAAGTTTTATGGTAAATACTAAACGAAAAGTAATATAAAATTATATGATAAAAACTTAAAAAAATTGGTAAAAAAAAGTAGCTTAAAAAATAAAAAAATAAAAGCATTGACTTGACATGAAAAAAGGAGGTGCATTTCTATCAAAACGGCGAAATGTGCCCAACATTAAACCACTTTCGACGGTCGAATCAAGTTTATCAACGGACTTAATGCACAAATCAGTTCAAAATAAATAAATGAATATAATAAATAATATTATAAATGATTATGGTCGTCGGATCAAACTTATCAATGGTCTTGATGCATGCGTGAACAGTACACATAGACCAAGGAGAATGGAGCAACAGGTATGCACCAGGTGGATCCCGCCATGATTAGCCAATTAAAATGCAAAATGTAGCGCTCTTGCCAGCCACTTTCCATCAGCTTTTGATTTCATGCATCGTGATCCACGTTAGCTCGTGTTTTCCATAAATAATATTCTGACACGTGATAAACTAAAAGAATTAACCATTAACGCAATGACACGTGTATTCTACTGAAGAAAACACCCAATTAAAGCTTGACACATGACATCCAAAAGAAGATAAAGGGGTTGTACTTTTGCATTTTTGAGTTAGGGTGACTTGAGTGATAATCTTGAGTTGAGTTTGAGTTATAACTTGAGTTGAAGTTGTAGCTTGAGTTTGTATTTAGATGTGCACATTTGAGTTATGATTTGAATTGAGAATCTTTTTGAGTTTGTGTTTGGGTCGGCCAAAACTTAAATTTGTATTTAGATAATATTTTAATAAAAACTCAATGGTGATGAAAAATTTTAATATAGTATATGGGTAGAGTTTTATTTGTCTTTCCGCTGTGAATACATAGAAAAAAAAATCATCTCAATCAGAATTGAAACGAAAAAGTTATGACATTTTTAAGAAAAGAAAAAATATTATTTATTAACTTGAATTCAAGTTTATGAACTCGAGTTAAAGGGGAAACTTGAACTCGAGTTTAACCTCAAACTTGAGTTCAAACTCAAAATTTACAAAAAACCATGAACTTAAATAAAGTTGTAACTCAAGTTCAAACTTTTTCTGAGATTTCATTGCAAAAGAACAACCCCAAAATAACTTTACAAGTTATAGTTCAATAGTATTATGTGTCTTGATAAATAGTAAGTGCATTCACATTTAATATATAATTATAGATATAGATATTATATGTATATATATAGCATTGTGCATTGAAATGAAATTTTAAAAAAAATAAATATCCTACTATACCATTCAAAACTAACAAAATAACACACTACATCAAATGAAAAAAAACAAATAACAATAAAAATAAAAAGGCAACAAAGTTAAAGTAATGATACTAAACCTTCTCCACCAAAAAGAAGTATACTTCTCCACTTCAATAATTTTCAAAAGTTTTTTTTTTTTTTTTTTTTTTTTTTTTGAGATTGAATCAAACTTTCTATTTCTTTTTTGTCTTTTGTCTATGCAAATTTTCTAGTGAACATATTTATTCTTAAAACTTAATTTGGATATGCATGAAAACCATCAACACAACAATAACAAAAAATAAAATGGCTAATTTAAAACTCAAAAAATAATAATCAACAAGTTAATAAAAAAATGAATAAGAAAGGTATAAGTTAGAAACTTGTAAAATTTAAAAGTAAAATAAGATGATAGAGAGAATATATTGTTGTTGTGAAAAATGGAGAATTATTAATGCAAATATAAGAAAAGGAAAAAGAAATATAATTTCCTAAATAAAAAAGAAAGAGGGCAAAAAGATTGACATTAGTTTTTATTTTTTATTTTTATTTTTTATTTTTTTACACAAAAGAAAGGTTTACAGTTTAATTGAGTTCTTTCCTGTATCAAGATACTTGTTAAAGGTAAATCATCTTCTTCTTTTTTCTTTTTTCTTTTTTTTTTTTAAGTTGCCGTTCAAGATTTCTAATTTTGAAAATCTCAATCCTTATTAATTATCCTATATATAAGGATACCACTTATATGTGGTTAGTTCTAATATATACTATATATATAATCGTTGACTTTTGAGAGAAAATTAAATAAAAAAATCCAAATAGTATATCAAAAATATGGACAATTTTATGGTAGCGGCGCTTTTTCCCCACCCGGTATGTTGAAATAATAAAGGCCGTTTTGATTAAACGTCTATGGTCCAAAATACTTTGTTCTATAGAAACAAATATAAAGACTACCACACCAAACAAATCTTTATTCACACCACTTCAAAAAAAAAAAAAAAAAATCTTCCTTCCCCAACGTAAATTTTGCAGATCCAAACCCTAATTTGCAAACCCATCTTTGATACCCCAACTTAATTTGCAGACCCACCAGCCACCACCTCCCGGCGTGGCAAGCCAGTTTCACCCCACGGCATCCTGCACCCCGCACACCCAACTTTTCCCCTCTCTCCGATAGAAGCCCTCTCTTCCAACGGCGCCTGCAAGACGGCGTCATCTCGCCTATCCTCCGACTGCAGTCCTCCCCCACGACAGCGCCGGCATAATGGATTCCGTCACGGACTTCGTCAAGAGACCCACTGATTAATGGGAGGAAGAGCATGTGATTTATGTCGGTTGGTTTGATTTTCCGTTGATTGTGGCTCCGGGTTTCCACTTCTTCATCATCTTGTTGCTCGTTCATCAAAGAGACTAAATTCGCTGAAGATCTCGGATCACATGCGTTTATGAATACTCAGACTTCTTCATAAACAGGCTTCTCTCTAGTCTTTCGTCTATGGTTATTATTAATATGATTAAGACTTCTTCAAAAACAGGTTTCTCTCTAGTCTTTGGGTTTTTCTTTTTTCTTTTTTATTTTGAAAAGGGAAATCTAGTTTATACTTTATGGTTATTACTAATATGATTAGTATTATCGTTATCGTTATCGTTAATATTACCATAATCTCATTCACTTTTTTCTCTCTTGATTCCAAAATCACCCAGTATAGGGACTTGGATTTGCTTGTTTCGAAATCAACCAGTTTAGGAATTTTGATAATTTGAAGGTTGGTTTCTGGATTGTCTAAATTCTTTGGAATTGTTGATTGCAAGGAAAATTTGATAATTTGAAGATTTCTGAGTTGTCATAAAATTTGATAATTTGATAATTGTTGCGTGAATTGTTGGTTTTTGGGTTGTTGAGATTATGAGGAGTTTTGGATTGCGAGGAATTGTTGATTTTAAGGTTGGTTTTTACTTTCTGGGCGTACTAATGTTCTTCATTCTCAAAAAAAAAAAAAAGCACCATTTTTCTTCAGCTTTTTTTGCAGCGCAACTTTAGTAATATATGGTTTTTCCAGGACATAGTACTTTTTCTGCATTGCTCAATGCTGTTTCCTTACGTTTACAACTAAAAGAATTTTTCCTTTTTTTTTTTGGTTTTTGCAGGAAGAACGTGAAATTTTCAAATTGGTTATATTGAAGAACATATAAGTTGACTTTGTTGTGATAGTCCTTGTTCTCTAGACCATGTTCAAGGTTCCTGATCATCAGGTTGCTGGCCACCGAGCCTCTCAAGGAGTGCTTGGTCCTCTCATAGACGATTCAGGGCGCTTCTATAAGCCTCTTCAAAGTGATGAACGGGGGTCAAACGAGGTGGTATTCTATACTCAGTTCTCTTCCAATAAAGAAATTCCAAATCACATACGTAAATTTTTTTCAGTCTATTATGACACTCAACTTATAGAGGCATCAGATGGATCGGGTCTCCTCCCCCATCTTGTGTTGGAAGATATCACATCAACTCGTACCAATCCGTCTATAATGGACGTTAAAATTGGTTCTAGAACATGGTACCCCCAAGCTTCTGAAGATTATATCACGAAGTGTCTTATGAAAGACAGACAAACAACAAGCTTGCCATTGGGGTTTAGAATATCTGGACTCCAGATTTATGGGAGTGAACAATCCGGGTATTGGAAGCCTGACAAGAAGCGTGTTCTGGGGTTTACTGCAGAGGATGTTAGGGTAGTTCTCAGGAAGTTTGTTTCTTCTAATTCATCCGATGATTTTGGTACGGAACCAGATTGTGCTTTTGCAGCTGCCGTTTATGGTGGTTCTACTGGGATCTTGGCACAATTGTTGAAGCTTAAAGCGTGGTTTGAAGATCAAACCATATACCATTTCTATTCTTGTTCGGTCTTAATGGTATATGAAAAGGAGCCAATTCTAAATGGGAAAAGTCCATCTGCTGCAGTTAAATTGGTTGACTTTGCGCATGTTTTGGATGGCCAAGGTGTTATTGATCATAACTTCTTGGGTGGGCTCTGCTCTTTGATAAAGTTTATTTCCGAGATTTTGAAGGATCAACCTCATGATTTAACCAAGGACAATTCTGGGTCAGAGATTGCTTGTGCAAATGACTGCAACAAAATATAACCACTTGAGTGTTCGGATCTAACCACTCGAGTATTCTGGTATCTAACTTCTGTTTAGAGTTGAAACTTCACGAGGTTAATTCTCAGAATTTGAGAGGCTGCTTTAAGGCATTTCATTTTCATACTAGGCGAATTGGTGACCACCTGTTGGCATAAATGATATAATTCTTACATTGTTTCTCAATTGTTAAGATCTAAAAATTGATGTTATTGCAAGAATAATGATGCATTTAGAACGTGTTGTCAGGCCCGTAAACTGTTCATCTTTTGTTAAGAAAAGATGCAAAGAAGTTGAGCCATTTCCGATATCGGCCGATTTTTGCTTTACATTGTATGTTGAAGATTTATGTTTGCATCTGTCGTGCTCTTTTTAAGCTCAGTGGTCTGTTATGATGTTGGCTTAGTCATTGTTTTGTTCGCTCCTGGTGTTGTTTCATAGGCCTCGGTGGCTCTCGTTTATTTTTGTTTGCTTGCTTATAAAGAGAAAACAAAGAAGCTGCTACTGAAAACTTCTCATTTCTGGATAAATGGAAGGAGATACATATGCGTACGTGCGTATGCACATATATGGACGCACGCTTTTTTCTTTTGCTGGCTGAATGAATCCTGTGATATGCTGCCGGACCTTTCGAATGAGTAAGGAAAAGCTGTAGGTTCCTTTGGATAAAGGTTATACCTTGGTTCTGTTCATTTTACTGATTCGAGTTTTATTACAGTAAAATGTTTTCAGAAACAGTCACATTTAATTTTTTTGTTACAGTAAAAAGCTTTCATATAACGTCACATCTCAACTTGAATTAAAAACTCGAATCAGCAAACTAAACGGGCTATAAATAATTAGGTGATTTGATAGAAAGTGGATAACATGCTCGATATGACATGAGTTTTAGTATAATAAGCAAAGCACCTCATGAGTACGTCATAATAGATTTGAACACTTGTCTCGGATCGACTTTCAGATCATAATTGTTCTAGTGAATAACTAAAAAATATAGTTAGATGTTAGATAGAAGTAGAAAATAAAAAAATTCACCGGTTTAGGTACATGATACTATCATTACCTCCTGGACAATTGTAAGAGCGGAGTTCTATTAACTTGAGCTATATAGCCCCGAGCCAAGTAGAGGATGCATGAAGGCCCTTCCACCCAGAACCGTCGGATGACTAAGGCGACTTTCCTCCTTGCTCGACGGGTGGGTCTTACAGTCAAGCTCCCTTCAATCTTTACACTTGAGGGTCAATTTCCGTCTCGCCTGAGGAACCTTTTGCAATACCATTTATGCGGTACTACTATTCAATTATATCGGTTTTGTAAGAAAGTTTGGAACATACTATTTTTAAAGAATAAAAAGACGACGTTGATCCCAAACTAGATATAATTAATCACTGATAAACTGGAGTTAGTATAAACTCAAGTTAATCACTAATAAATTCATATTTATCATATACAAACTACTACACCATACTTGGAAAAAAAAAATCCCTCTCTCCAACTGTTCTCTCACAACAGCATCATAACTCCAATGCCAGCCCGCCCTAAAACCATCAAGACTGTCAAGCCACCGTTGAATCTCCAAAGGTCAATACAGACACTGGCGGAGATTAACAACCCTTTTCTCTCTCTACTCGACGCACAAAGAAGTCATTCCTTTGATGAATTGGGCCGGAGAGAGACCTGTAAAAAAAAAAAAAAAAAAAAAATATATATATATATATATATATATATAAGCGGCAAGGGCCGGATGAAAGGTTGCTTCTTTTTTTATTTAAAAAAATTATTAGGTTGCTCCTTCCTTTTTTTTTTTTTTTTTCTTGTTTTGCCCCTTAACCCGTTTTAAATTTTTAATTCCAAATTTCGTGCATAATCATTAAAAATTTCATCTACATTATTAATTTTGGGACATGTTTACGGTAGGGGGCGTTTTTTCTCCCTACCAATAGGGTGACATCGGATGGTTTTTTATGGTTGGATTTAGAGTGGATCCAATTGTTTTAAGAAGTGACGGTGGACTTCCGCACACATGATAAAATGGCTTTGCACTTAGTATAATGACGCTGTTTGGATTAATTTGTTGAAAAAAATATGAATAAATTCATCAAAGGTCCTTCAATTCTTTTCTCTTTCTAAAATTAGTCTCTGTAGTTGAATTTATCTCATAAACAATCCCTCAACTGAAAAAGTGTCTTATAAATAATTCCTTGTTAAAATTTTTGATGAAATCCGTTAAATTGTATGGTAATTATGATTTTTAAGTTATTTTATTTTGCACTTTTGTCTTATTTGAGATCTCTAAATAAAAGCAATTTATGTTTTAATAGAAACCTAGCCGTTAAATATGTACTTTTTAAAAGCAATTTATTTTTTTTGTTTTTTTATTTTTTATTTTTGTTCCACATATGGCCCCATGGAATGGAAACCTAGCCCCTAATAATTGACATCACATCTTATTACTTAGTGCTAGTTATCATTGTATGGATGAAATGTCCCATAAGCATTTAATCTCTCTCACTTTGCTTCTCAAGGTTATTATACACAAGCCTAAGATAAATGAGAAAAGCCAGGGTGTTTTGCTTTCCCGTAATGGCAAGGGAAGTTTCTGCTGTGTGGTCCATATTATAATGGATTTTAATGTATTTATTTTTATTTAATCATAAACTAGAGACAGGCCAAAAGAAAAAAAAAAAGAAAAAAAAAAGAAGATGAGAGCTGTCAGTCATGGTCTTCAAACCATTGGGCCAAATTGTTTAGATGATCTTTCTTTAAAGCAATGCACTTCTTACAATGAAATCCAATTCAAATCCAGCAGTGAACTCCAAGCCTTAGAAATTACTTCAGTTTCTTGCAACCTCAAAAATAGTACACTAATAGTTTCACCTATATATCACATACACATAATATATCCACAGGAAAAACACATCCATAAGACTAAAAACACTAACAAAGACCAAGCCAAAATGTATTCATCAATTGTCTTCCTCATTTTCTTCACCATAGGCACATTTATGATCAACATCTGCTTGGCAGATTGTGATAATCTGCAGGACACTTGCCCTGCAGCCCCACCAGAAAAGCAAACTATTTTCATCAATGGCCTTCCTTGTAAGAATCCATCAACCATTAGTTCTCCTGATTTTAAAACCACAAAACTGACCAAGCCAGGGGACACTAAAAACTATATGCGCTCGTCGACGAAAATAGTCACTGCTTCGGATTTTGCAGGCCTTAATACTTTAGGCCTTTCCATTGCCAGAACAGACTTGGAAGTAGATGGCTTGGTAATGCCTCATTTCCACCCGAGAGCCTCTGAGACGTTCTTTGTTGAGAAAGGAACTATTTTAGCTGGTTTTATTGACACAAAAAGCAATGTTTTTCAAGATGTTCTCAATGAAGGAGATGTTATTGTGTTCCCTAAAGGGCTGCTTCACTTTTGTTTCAACTTTGGTTTTGACGTTGCTACCGCTTTCTCTGTGCTCAATTGCCAGAATCCCGGGGTGGTGAGCATCAGCGGCGCTATGATTGAGCCCGATCGTGATGTGGACACATTAGGAAGGTTAGTGAAAAGCCTAATTTCGCTCTCGAAACATAACATGCTGGAGAGACACAGCAACTATCAAAATGTGACTCTCCCCAAGTTCCCTGGTCTTTTGGATGGCTAACAATTTGGTTGCGAAATTTATGTCACTGTTTACACGGAGATTAAAGTCTTCAATTGTGTTAGTAGAGGTATGAAAATTTGTGGTACTATATTTCTTAAATAGTTGCAGCAATTTGTCCTATATATGTTTGATTGATGTGTTTAAAAAAGCAAATAAGCTTTTGTAGCCACTTATGTGGCTTAATTTATGATGCATATTATTTTATTTTCTGCATACAACTTAGTACGTGAGCATTGAAATATGTCTTTTGCTACTACCATTTTGAGATTTTCCTATATCATCAATTTAATAATAACGATGGGTGTGGATTTTTTATATTATTATTAGTATTTTCTTAGCAAAAGCTGATTACAACTAGTATGCAAGGGCAAATTTAGCATATGATCCCAGTAATGTTGGCACCGACTAAAAATCTTGAAAAGCTCTTCAATCTTCCCCTTGATATTAAATTTAATATTAATTTATGTAAACTTTCTGCATTCTAAAACTACAACTGAAGTTATATATATATTCGTTGTATTGGACCATATATAATTAGTTTAGGTTTTGTCATTTCTAACAGTGCTATGTAACATCCCTATGGAACTCAAAATTTGGTAGAACTAGTTAAATATCTGCAAACCACTGTCTAAGAAAGTTCTTGCTCTCTAATGCTCAACTACATGAAATTCCTTCGGACATATTGGATACAACGTACCAACTACGCGAAATAAGGTCGTTAATTTGACTTCGCATTTTGCTATTTGTTAGAAGTTTTCGATGATTAACGTGGATATAATTTGTTGATCAGAGCTAGCTTGTTCTTTGCCGGCAATGGGGTTCATGATATTGCAAACTTTGTCTAAGAGAACGTCTTAATTAGCACATCAACATTTTACGTACGTGCAGCTAGCTTTCATGATTTAAGTGTCAAAAAAAAAAAGTTATTTGACATTCTATAATTCGATCAGCTCATATATATATATATATATATAACGAGGAATTAGTAGTTGCATTAAAAACAAAAGTCCTTGGCATGATAAAATACAAACTTGCCGATTTTGTATCTAGGAACATACTAAAGCAAGTTTAGGTTGATGCCATAGAAATTCTGCTTTCTATTCCAAGTAGTACTCTTGTGATCATGCAGCTTCCGTTTAGTTCATGGATTAAAACCATAAGATTAGAATTATTTTCGATTTGCGTGTATTTTTTATGAGAGAAAATACTATAGCGAACCATGAACCATAATTCAAATCAGAGAAAGAATTCTCCAACCAAACGGATTTTAATTTTTTGTGGTCACAACTTGGAATTTTACAATTGAAAACAGTTGGCATTAAATGCATAGTACTGATTTGGGGATTTAGTCCGGTGGTAGAATGCTGACTTAGGGAGCGAAAGGTCCGGAGTTTAATTCTTGGAATCCTCATTGTTACATTTTTGCTTATGATACAAAAGCACGGGAAAAAAAAAGGTAAAACGACGAATACAAGAAAAGGAACAAAGAAATTTCTGGTGCGCAGTAAAAGGATGAGAGGACATATAAGAGCCAGCAAGTTAATACATAAATTTGACTTTTAACAATTAATATTTTAGTCATAGAGAGTCCAAATTTAGTCGCCATAAAATATTTCGTAACTAAAAAAATGTAGTCGCTATTTGATTGTTAAAAGTTAGTCGTAGAAAGTTTTTTGTGACTAAAATATTGTAGTCACTAAATATTCATACATTCAACAACTATAAGTTTAGTTGCAAAAGTTTTTTGGTTGGTCGCAGGAAAATTTAACGGGCACTAAAAATTTGTGTTGTAAAGAGACCAAATTATTTTTTGTGACTATGTGAAAGCTAATTGGTAACTAATTATTAGTTATTGTTAAATTAATTATTAGACATATAATGACTATCCTTTTAGTCACTAAATCTTGGTGCATTGTCACCATAAAGATGAAGCTCTCCCTTGTTATAAGTGACATCCAACTTGTTCTCACTAAAGCTAATAATAACAGTAATAATAATAATAATAATAATAATAATAATAATAATAATAATAATAATAATAATAATAATAATAATAATAATAATAATAATAATAATAATAATAATAATAATAATAATAATAATGATAATAATAATGATAATAATAATAATAGTAGTAGTAGTAGTAGTAATAATAGTAATAGTAATAGTAATAATAATAGTAATAGTAATAAGAATAATAATAACAATAATAATAATAGTAGTAGTAGTAGTAATAATAGTAGTAGTAATAATAGTAATAGTAATAGTAATAATAATAGTAATAGTAATAAGAATAATAATAACAATAATAATAGTAATAACAAGAGTAATAATAATAACAGTAATAATAACAATAATAATAACAGTAATAATAACAGTAATCATAATAATAATAAGAATACTAATAATAACAGTAATGATAACAATCATATTACTGATAATAATAACAACAATAACAGTAATGTCATAATAATAATAACAGTAATAATAATAATAATAACAATAACAGTAATCATAATAACAATAACAGTAGTAATAATAATAATAATAATAATAATAGTACTAATAATAATAACAGTAGTAATAATAATAATAATAACAGTAACAGTAATAATAATAATAATAATAATAATAATAATAATAATAATAAACAAAGCGTCATACTAAATAATAGACAAAAATTAAAAATGAATAATAAAAAGTATATGGATAATTGCCGGTAGATGTTGAACCTTGTAGGTCATTTAGAGGGGATGAATCTGCAAGAGGAGTGATAGTGGTTGATTGAACGGTGGAAGGGGCTGTCTTCAATATAGATGAAGGAATATGGGTGGATGTCTCTGATGCTCCACCCCCTGTTGCTGGTGTAGAAACGGTAGGATTGATAGGAGACTTTGAAGACATGCCGGAGGACGTAGGGGTGGGTGCAAGATTCCTCTTTTTTGGTGGCATAGTTGAAAAGGAAAATGACTAAAGTGAATTCTGATTGAAATCATAAATGCATTCAATTATAAGTGAAACAACATTGTTAGCATATTTCAAGTTGAGGCAAAACGAAGGCCATTTATAGTTTAGATCAACATTACATACTAGATTGTAGACATAATATATAGAGATATACTAATTCTAAGGTGTCGGACTTGAGTGTAATTTTTGAATTGAATTTGAGTTATAACTTGAGTTGAAGTTGTAACTTGAATAAAGTTGAGTGAAGTTCAATAAAGTTGAAACTTAAAAGAATGTGAATTTAAATAAAATTAAAACTTGAGTTGTCTTTTTTTGAGTTTTTTGTATAAAAGAACATGCCCAGTTTCCATAAGAGGAAACATAGCGGTACTTAGCAGTAAGTACCAACACTATAAAAGTGAAAACAAATTTCCTATTGATACAAGAAAGATAATACGTAGAAATATAATTTATTATAATTAGTGCAGAAATGACTAACCTGAAATGCTGATGTTCCTTCTTGTTTTGATCTTCGTTTCACTCCTGTGTTTTAGAGTTTCCTGGAGTATTCAGTTTTCTTTCAATGAATACGTTTATATTATCAAGAGTTGAGAGCATACATAAAATCATATAGGGCACTAACTCAAACATGAACGTGAATTGTGAAAACTGTGCGGGTTCTTTATTTTTCTTTTTAAACTATATTTCATTTTATGGCACCAATTTCCTTTTCATTTTTCATTTTTTCTTTTAAACTTAACTTTCATTTTTAATAAGTTTAAATCATTTTTTTTATTTTTTTATGCTATTTATTTTTCCTCTAACAATAGAGAAAAAAAATATTAGATTCTAATTTAAAAGAATTCACAAGAACACCAAAACTCCAAATTCAATCAGAAAAAAGAAAAAAATGGGAAAAAGCAACTAAATTGAACCTGGTGAGCATCCTGAGAGGGAATAATATAGGCATCGATTTCGATTCTAGGCCTTGAGATGAGCTTACGTAGGGCACAGAGCTTCTCATCAGGGTCCGAGACGGCGTGATTCTTTTGGAACTTTGACGGCATCTTGGTGGAGACCAAAGAGCAGTTTCGAACGAGATCGTACACCGTCTTCTTTCCATGTTTCAACCGGATTGAACATGTCTCTGTTATGCAAATGGGACAACCTATGGAACTCTTAACTGAGTACCCATATAGGTTTTCATATGCAGGGAAGTCGTTAATGGTCCACATCAACATTGCTCGGAGTACGAAGGAATCATCACGGAAACGATCGTTAACTTCGATCCCACTTTCCCACAATCTCCTCAACTCGTCAATCAACAGTGCCAAGTAGACATCAATGTTATTTCCCGGTTGATTAGGTCCAGAAATCAACAAGATCAACATTAGAAACTGATGCTTCATACTTAAGTCTGGCAAAAGATTGTAGTTTACAAGGATGATGGGCCAAGTACTGTGTTTGCTGCTAAAATTACTATGCGGATTCATCCCATCAGCCGACAACGCAAGGCAGACATTCCTAGGTTCTGTACTAAATTCAGGATTCTCTACATCAAATGTCTTCCACTGTGGAGAATCAATGAGGTGTTGTAGCATGCCATCATTGACCCTCTTATCATGATGCCAAGTTAAACTTTTAACATATTCCGGATTTCAATAAAATCGCTTTAATCTTAGTTTGATCAGAATATACCATTACACCTTCATCGGCACACCTTTTCTCCCATTGGACGGTTTCTTTCCTTTCTTCCACCTAGACTTGTGGCACACTAGACACTCGTCCAACTCTTCACATTATTTTCGATATAGCACAAAATCATTTGAACACGCATGTATTCTCTCATATTCCATCCCCATAGAGCTCAACGTTTTCTTAGCCTCGTACATAAACCCGACACTTGATTATTATCCGAAGTGTATCTTTTAGAAATTCTAAGAGTCTTGTGAAACTTGCAATTGACCACCCACCCGCCGCCTTCAAGTTCCACAATCTATTAATCCAGACAATTTGATATACTCTTACATCCACTATACAATGGAGTCTCCCCATCGTCCATCATTTACTCAAATAACTTCGGTCAGTGTACAAATTCTTCCTCCATATCATTAATCATATCAAACATGTTACTTCCATCATCCTCATGATCAATA